CATGTACAGGTCAAACTTTTAATCGTAGTGATAAAGCCATAGTATCATTTGTAGAAAAATGTCTTATTACAGTATTCAACCCAATTTGAGTTTCATGTAAATAGAGTGCCAGACTCAGCAAATAAAATATGGCACCTAATTAAAGTTGAAATTCAGATAGGCAAGTATAATTTTTGTGTATGTCCCATGTATCATTTGGTACACACCTATAGGAAAAAAATATTTATTGTATATCTGAAATTCAAAATTACCTGAGAGTTCTATATCTTATCTAGCAAGTTTATCCATAAAGTTATTGAAAATCTTAATACTATGTATTACATCATGTTATTTTCCAAGAAATAATATGTCCATGGTGGTTTACATTTGTTATTAAACTTGATCAGCAATGCCACACTGAATCAAGCTATTAATAATTATTTAAAAAGTAACATTTTATTGAACACGTGGTATGTGTCATTAGATTTTATAAAAATCCCTCCTCTTATAGATGAAGAGATTGAAACTTAAATTGTTCCAATCAATTCATTGCGTTACATACCTAATAAATTATACAATTAGAATTGAAATTGAGGTTGGTATGATATCATTTGATTTCAATGTCGAATAAAGACCAGATTATTATATAACTTAATGAATGGTGAAAAAATACAGATATTATAAATAAGAAACATAAAATAGTGGCTAGGATTTTTAGACCTAATTTCTCTCAAAAATAAAGGAAATAAAAATCTCTGCTCTCTGGCCCTGACCAGTTAGTTGAGTTGGTTAGAGCATCATCCCAATACCAAAGTTGTAGGTTTGATCCCAGTCAGAGCATAGAAAAGAATCAACCAAGGAATGCATAAATAAGTGAAACAACAAATCGATAGTTCTCTCTTGCTCCCATCCTCTCTCTTTAAAATCAATAGTAATAATGTTTTAAAAAATCTCTGTTATCCAAAGCCTCACTGAAAATGTTCCTGGTAAAGTGAGCATATCTAAAATAAAGCTGTACCTTAATTTCTCTCATTCCCTCACGTTTGACTGCTAATCCTGTCAGTCAATGCTATTTTCTAGTGATATTTCTCTCAAATCTATATCTTTGCATCTATGTTTGCCTTGCCTTTCTTCATTCAACTTTCCTACCAAAGGTGACTTTGAAACAATGAACAGGCTGATAAAAAGGAAGGTCAACAGGAGAGTCCTGTTCTACAGCTCGCATCTGCATACCCTGGCTGTAGCGCATCACACCAGGATTAGGACTCAGTGTCAGCCACAGAAATACCAGAATCGCAGTTTGTGTGCCAACCGGATGATCCAAATGAGCCAATTATCTTTTCCAGGAATATGGGCAGAAAGAGACTTGAGGAAACACATACAAAGGAAAATAGGTGAATATACAGCAGCTGAGTGAATGGCACATCTCTGGAGCAGGGATTCATATCAGATTTCTAATAGAGAGATTAACTAGCATGATTCCTGAAGCTAAAATGAATAGGAAAAAGTCTCCCAGCTTTAATTGCTATAATTGAATAAATTTGGTTCTGGTATTTCTTGTGAGTTTTCTTATTATTTACATGTATCCTGGCATTAACTTTATATTGTTCTAGGCAGATTGAATAGATCTTTGCTCCTTGAAATATATATTAGAAGAAAGAGAAAGAAGAGGAAGAGAGAGGGAGGAGGACGAGAAGAGGAGGAAAAAGAGGAGGAGAAGCGAAAACAAAGGATTTCGTTTAACTGAACATTTGCAACGAGTCTTATAGAGTGTAAGCAGCTTTAAAAGGCTTATCTCAGTAGTTCTCTCTCTCTGTCCCACTGTCGCTGCGTCTCTCCTCTCACCTGGCCATCCCCCGCCCCCACTCTTTCACATGCACACAAAATGAGTTTATTATTCTATTATCTTCAATTTATGATTAGGAAGTCGGAGCATAGGGAAGTTAAATAACTTGCTTGAGGGCACATCACTCCTGAGAGACTGAATATTAATTGAAATCTAGACAGCCTGTAACCCTGGCCCTTGCTGCAACCATTGTGTCATATTCTCTCTAGTAGTTCAGTGATGTCCTTTTATTCATTTGATACAAAAGAGAAAACAGACAAAAATGAAAGGTTTCAAACATCTATTGAATATCATCAGTCCCACACATAATAGCAAAGAATGTTACATCTATTTATAATATATAGGGGCCAAAATTATTTGAAATATACTTTCCAAAGGGCAACAAAAAACTACAAAAATTGCACTTCTACACTGTGTTTAAGCTTATCTAGTGTCATCTAGGTTCTGTAAACATCCAAGCTGCACCACTTATTAGCTCAATCTTGGGCTCAATGCTTTTAGCAAACATCCCAACAGTGTAAATGAAGGATAAGATTCCCTGCTTCATGGAGTTGTTTTTAGGGCTAATGAGATAATGAGGTAGTGAAATAATGAGTAGTAATATGAATTCATTCTATTAAATAAATAAAATTATATATCAATTAATGAAAGGGCTGTTTTTCCATATGTGAGAATGAGGATAGATGAATATAAAAGAGAGGAGTAGTTATGCTATTTCTAAAAAGTCTATATTATTTTAATCTTTTGCAATCAGAAGGCATTATGTGTTGACTCGGTAAATATATACTGAGTCCTATTTTATGTATGTTAAAGAGTCAGAAAGACCATTGTAAATTGTCACTGATTCCTTTTGATATGAAAGACACTTAATAAATTTAACTTCACATAATTTAAAGAGAATTAAGCTCACTTTGTGAAAATAAACTAATAAAAAGGTATAAAAATAATTCATTTCTGAAATGTGAGTCTTTGCATAGAAAAAAGTCAGAATGTAATTTACTACAGTAGAATCATTATGATCTTTCAACACATCAGAAATCCATATCTAATAACAAAAACATACATTTTAGGAAGATATAATTACAAATGTATTTAACATAATAGATCCAAAAATTAATTAGACACATTCTTAGTGGCAAACAATAGAGCCTATTCTAATTAGTTTTGAGCAGAAAGGGAATTTAATAAGTATATTAGGAAGTTCATAGAATATCTAGAAGAGCAAGAGTGCTAGCCTTGGGGAATGAGAAGTCAAGAAAGATGGACTAGCAGCAGTTGAGACTGGCTGACTGAAGACCCGTTGAAACTAAACACTGGCCACTCCAGGGTTTATGTAACTGATGTTATTTACGTGGTGAAGGCCTTATTTAAGCAGGAGTAAATATAAAACAAAACACAATAAGTGATATTTTATAGCTGTTTTAGTTCACATTTTACCTACATTGGTAAATGCCTTTAATGTATTTAAATGTATTAAATGTGTTTAGATCATTTGACAGTTGATGTCATAGTACTTTTAACAGGAAACACCAGAGATATATTGGGAAATGGAATAAATATTTCTTCTTTCAAAGATATCTTTGAATATTCTGTGTGGTTTTATGTGAATTCTTGTCAATTAAATATGGCTTGAAATGAAACTGAAACTTCTTCAATATTAGAAGTGTTTTTAAAATTCTCAAATTTTTTCAGCTCTATGAAATGTATCTAAAATAACTTTATCCAGTAAAGTTCATGTTCTTGATTCTAGAATTTATCTAACATTTATATATATTTTAAAGACCTAACTTGCCTATAAACATTTTCTAAAAATCTGAAGTTTCTGGAACAGAATAAAGGGTTAGGAAGTAAGCAAATAAATGGACAAGATCCATTCACAAGAACAGGTACACTTTTACAAGTTGTCCACAGAACATCATACATACCATACATTTGCTTACTTTAGAAACAATTCAAATGAACAAACTGTGACTTTTTTCAAACCACAACATCTAGAATACACGGGCTTCTTGAGAATAACAGTGGAAAGGATGATAGTAAATATAGAGATATAAAATGAAAAATAAAATGTAGATATAAGGCATAAAGCAAACCCAAGTAGATTTTGTCTAGGGTTATAAGTCTCAAAGAACCCTGAATGCTCCCAAGATTATCAGACTCTATGCCACAATCTTCTTGATAGCTTAGAAAATTAAACATTATTCTCCATATACTTTCTGAGGGAAATTCCCAGATGCAAGCAAATTTAGAAATTTTTCATCAAAATAAAAAATATTAAAATTGCAGAAGCTTACCCTTTTTGAATCGTCTGAGGACATTAAACAAGAATATTAATTAGTTACATGTAACAAATAGGATTGATTTTCTTGAGCCTGTGTTAGCAGCTCTTTAAAAAGCAATAAAGAATAAGGGGATAAGACATGGCTTTCCTGAGTGATAATAAAAAATAACTAAAATTTATATGCAAAGAGATCATAAAACCCTAAAATCACTCAGCAAAAGGATCGCCCAACCTTATTTCCATAGACATCCCATAACATAATTTTTTTCCTCCTTTAAAGGTCTAGGATGAAGTTCACTTTTTGACGCTCACTTGCATGGGAGAAAGAGATGAACACCCTGAAGTCTGGTCTGTTTTTGTTTCACCTTTGGAGCTGTACCCTACTGGATTGAGTTTAGATACTGAATTTCTAGGAGTGAGCCAAAGTGGAGAAACACATCTCTTTACTCTAGAAAAGTAGCTTTTATTCGTTTGATTAATATGTATTGTTTCTGACACATTATAAAGTTTTTGAGGCAAAAACTGCCTTTAGCTACTTTAACATGTCATAAACTATAGTGTGTCACTCAACCAAATTAGCAAATACAAGATTAATTATTGGTAATTAGAGAAATTCTGAAAGTCAGACCTTTGTGGTTTAAGTTGATATGATTTCATACCCATCATGGTGTTCCATAACCTGCTTACCACATCTGAACAAAAGATCTGCATAATTTACATATTTTCTGATGATCCGCCATGCACCTCCTGGTTGGTAAAATAAATGTGACAATGTTCCAACAATTCTCTTCTACTCCACAAGCAATATTCAGTAAGCTCCTTAGACTTCACAAAGTCTAGGGAGTGTTATGTCAGATAACCAAATTACAAAGTCACATCTAGTTATGTACTCACATTGATGTCTTCCAAATCTAAGTTATTTAGAATAATATTGTTCCTCTTCCAGACGATGGGCGGTCGCAGCGCTCCCTGAATGGCACAGCTCAGAACAGCGCTCTGTCCCACGGTTGCCGCAGTGATGCTCAGTTTCTGATCTTCAGGCAGGCTCAGCTGGATCACCTCTGCGGGGATAATGGGTCAGTAACGGTGATGAGAACACAGTTTTGTATGACGTTTTTAAAGACTACTAATGAAGGCTTATAATTTAAACTAGAAAAAACACCTGTGATGAACTAAAAAAGAGTAAATTGTTTCCAATAATAGGTCAGAATGACATTTCAATTTGATTGACATGTATCCTCATGAAGCAAAGAACTATTAAACATGAAATGAATATCAGAAGTAGAGTTATAATAAACCTGGCAGTTGTACCCAAAAGAGAAATAAATTATTTAACTGCCAAATCAACATGTACTATGTCATTGGCATTGAAATAAAAATGATGTTGTTTATTCACTGATAGATTTATATTGTAGGTGAGGTGAGATCATTGCTGGCTGGCTTCAGAGAACACTAGCATAGCTGAATAGATAAAATGCATCATTATGCTGGGAAACATAAATTGACTGTAAAGGAATGAGATTTATTTGCAAAGTTGAAGGAGGAAAATCTGAATTTCACCAACCAAAGAGCAATTAAGTGAAATTCTGTCAGCCACCTTTATCAAGACTCTGTCGATACATGCAGGTACTTCATGATCTTTAAATTTTAAAGTCAAATATCATATTTTTAAAATGATAACATAGGCTACATTTCTTTTAATAATTATGCTGAATCAAAAATATAATTATTAATCTGGATCTGGCTCCCCCCGCCCTTTCCTGACAATCCTACCAACTACGGGAATTAACTCTGTCATGAACCATTATCCTGAGAGATGACTCGGATAATCCTACTAATTTTCATCCAGCTGAAAACTGCCTTTTAGTGTTTAGCTGACATTCACAGGCACTCTAACTTCCAATGTCATGACTGAATCTTGCATTTTAAATTTGTTCAGTCTTAGCCAGGTTAGAAATATCACAAGTAGCTATTCTATCTGAAATTTCCATGGTGGCTGGGGGCACAGTAATTGTCTTTTGTTCCTTTGTTGTGGTCAATGACATTTTTAAGGGGGGGTTGAATGAACGAAATGGCGGCTTATAATTTGTCCTAATTATGACCAAGTACGATCATTGTTGTCTCTTTTACGACCTACCCCCAGCCCACCATTTCCTTTCACCATTCTACCTTTTTTCTGTTTCTGAATCCTGTCTTCCTCTTGAAGAGGAAGAGAAACACTGACCAAAAGAATTTTGTAAGATATTTATAAAAGAGACAATAAATAGTTATTTAATCTTTTTGGTACTATCACAAATAGTAATGTTTTAAAAAAGGGGGGGGGAGGCAGAGACAAATGTATTTGAAAAAATAAATTAATTAATTAAAAAAATAAAAAAATAAAAATGGCATGCATCTTTGTATCAGAAGGCCAAGAAAATCCCCCAAATGGACAAGTTAAAGTTGTGATCTCTGGAGTCATGATCACGTTTGCCACACCATTACCTGATGAAAATAAATGTAAATCAACCAGTCCTTATATTTTGCTATATAATTTCTAGTGTCTAAGTCTAAAAGCCAAGGTTATTTAAGTTATCATTGTTTTGTTTTGTCAAAGAGGAGTTAGGCATGTTTTTGAAACTGTAAACCCCTACAAGAGACATTCAGCTCAAGTTATTTTTTTTTGTCATTGCATCACTGAAAAAAAATCACAATGATAACAAGCGTCTTGCTCAGACATTTGTAATGACAGTTTAATGTCCTCTAATGGTATTTATTCACATTCACATTTTATTTCAGTGTTTCCTGAATAATAACACAAGAAATATTTTCAATCTGCTTTTCTTTACTACTGGTTCTGTTATAGATATTTATATTTACATAAAATCAACTAAAAGAAATTACATTTGTCCAATTAAGCATAGGAAAAATTGAAATTTGCAGACACAGTGATTCTTTTTTTTTTTTTAACATGATAAACTACAGGAAGAGAGGGCATTATAAAGGTAATAATGTCACTTAAAGCATCATATAATAATTATTAACAATGTTCCTATAACATTCCTAAATTTTAGTTTCTGGTTAATCATAAAATCATGTAAGAGATAATGGGACATCTGGTTCTAAAAACAGCATGTTCGCATTGACTGTTCTGACATTTCAAAATACAACTGTTATTAAGTCACCTTGGAATTTCTTCACTAACCTTCTACATCTGGTATTAGGTCCCAGGACATTTGAACTGGTTGTTCTTTTGGTAGTTATACATCATAATGCTAATTAGATAATGTGAACATATTAGAATAAATGCTGAGATTTAGCACAACATTATATGGGACATCTTTCTAAAATGTAATTCTTTCAGAGGATGCATAATTAGAAATAAGAATTACTATCCACCCAGGGAATATTAACATGCACAGAAAAGCTTTTTCATTAATTTGGGGATTACATTTTTAAACGATTTTCAAGACTATCTCAGTAATATGTATTATTAAATAATGATATGCATTGTGAAACTCTTTAGATTTTCTTTCTTGCATATTTCATGCTACATTTCATTTCTTCCCTAATATATTATATAGAGCTACATACACAAATTCAATTATGTTCACTTGTTACTTATCAAAATCAAGTGGTCCTTTCTTTAAATAATTTATTAGCAAGATTCATTTTACCTACATTACTGCCATGCTCATTTTTGTAGTCTTTCTGATAGTTATTAACAAGCAAAAATTTCACTTCACAAAATCACAAATGTTAAACATTATTATTCTTAAATACTTTTATCAAGAATGCTTTAATGGTGAATGACTTATAAAACATCATATTTATAATTTTTATAGATAAATGGTGATTATGTCTAGAAATGCATTAATAATCTGAAATAATAACTTGAAGCAATCCATAAATGAATTTAAAACTGATTAAAACTGATTTTAAGAGCTATTGGTTGTCTCTGAGCATATTTGGGTGATTATGGTTGTTAGTTTAGAAATATGAGTTTCAAAAAAAATAGTGAAAATAATTCTTTATCAATTATGGTTAATCTATATTTTATAAATAAACATTAATGATAGCATAATTTATTCTATAACACTCCACCAATAAACTTCTTATGCTGGTTAATGTACAGACTAACTGCTTTGCAAAAAATAACATCAATAATTTTAATATCCCTCCCTATCCCTTCAGCTCCAATGATAATGTATTACATGTATCACAAACTATCAAAATAGTGCGATGTTCTGGAAAAAAAAAGGCTAGGTATAACAGATAATACTGAGTTAAAAGAAAATATTTCAGTACTACTTCTGATATATAAATTTTGTTTCTATCAGAGGCCTTCTCAAGTATTCAAAGAAATAACTCAAGCTATGGTATTTCCTCTGATCTCATGTTATGAATGAAGACTATTAATGACATTTCCAGACCAGCTTTTTTCTTTTGATTACTTAGGAAAGCTAAGAGCAAGTAAAAAGAGTTTCCCCCTGTGGGTCCTTTTCTCATTTTCACAACTTGGCTTAGAGGAATATTAAGAGCTTACTTTAAAGGAATAAAAAATTATAAGTCTTCTCTGGCAGACTCTGAAGCCAAAGAGACAGGTATAGTTGAATGTAACTTCAACAACAGTAGGTAAGTAGTCATAAGCATTTGTTCTAATAACAACTACGTAATAAAAATAGTAATAGGAACTTGGGCAAAAATAGTATGTGACATTAAAATAGAATGAAGTGGGAATAATGTATTATGAGTATTTGTGAAATACCAGTTAAAAGGAAGAGAATTTTAGTAACTTTGATTGAAAATCCATTATTTCATAATCATAAGAATATAATTTATCATAAACAGAATTCTGTCCCTCTAAATATCTATACCTTTTCAAGTTCTTAAGTTCAAGTTATGATGAATGTTTCATTTAATTTATTTAAACCTTAGTCTCATAATCTTATCATCCTAATCATGCTTACAAATTCTACTATAAGGATGAAGCCTAGAAGAAATTTTATCAGCAGTATTTTAAAGTAACATGTATTTCTCCCTTCTCTATTTCACTAAATTACTAATTAAAAGCAGATAATAATAAAATACTTTAGTCAGAAATAGATCCCAAAATAGATACTTAGGAATCCTACCTGGAATAAATTAGTTATTCTTACAGTAAGAAAATGATGATTACTGAAGGACAAGCTCCTTAACTAATTGGGATATTCTCACAATATCTTTTTCAAGAAGTAGTTGCTTTCAGCATAAAATGGAGCAATAACAGCCTCTTCAACAAATGGTGTTGGGAGAGCTGGATGGCTACATGCAAAAAATTGAAATTGGATCATCAGCTGACACCATACACAAAAATAAACTCAAGATGGATAAAAGACTTAAATATAAGTCGCAACACCATCAAAGTCCTAGAGGAGAACATTGGCAGGAAACTCTCAGATATCCCACGCAGCCATTTTTTCACTGATATGTCTCCTAAAGCAAGGGACATAAAGGAAAGAATAAACAAGTGGGACCTCATCAAAATAAGAAGCTTCTGCACGGCGAAAGAAAACATCAACAAAATGAAAAGGGAGCCAACCATTTGGGAAAATATATTTGCTAATGATACATCAGATAGAGGTTTGATCTCCAAGATATACAAAGAACTCACTCGACTTTACTCCAAGAAGACAAACGATCCAATCAAAAAAATGGGCAAAGGACCTGGGCAGATGCTTTTCTAAGGAGGAGATACAGAGGGCCCAGAGGCATTTGAAAGGATGCTCTGCATCACTAGCCATTAGAGAAATGCAGATCAAAACCACCATGAGGTACCACCTCACACCGGTCAGAATGGCCATCATAAACAGATCCACAAACAACAGGTGCTGGCGAGGCTGTGGAGAAAAGGGAACTCTAGTCCACTGTTGGTGGGAATGCAGACTGGTGCAGCCACTATGGAAAGCAGTGTGGAATTTCCTCAGAAAGCTGAAAATGGAACTGCCTTTTGATCCAGCGATTCCCCTGCTGGGACTATACCCTGAGAACACCAAAATGCCAATACAAAAGAACCTATGCACCCCAATGTTCATAGCAGCAC